TCTGCTAAAGAAAAGAGATTCATAGATTCTGTGCATGCATGCATGCATGTGTGTGAGTGTGTGTGTGTGTGAGAGAGAGAGAGAGAGAGAGAGAGAGAGAGAGAGTCCACCTAGCCTGAGGACCTTCTTTGTTCAGACATTTAGAAAGCTCCTGCTGGGATCAGCCCTGTGGCCTGGTTCAGGGAGACAGCTAAGGGAGCAGGACCTCACGTGGCTGACCATGGTTCAAATCCTGGTCCTGACGGTTTGAAAAACACACTAGGCACGTGTGTGTGCACGTTTCGAATCCCAACAGGACGGAGAACTGGAGGAGGGGCTGTGGCGTGACCGTGCCCTTTGGAGGACGGTGCCCCCCTCCACCTTTCTCCCTGTCCCTCTCTGGTGAATGCACATGCCCTCTTGTAATTTTTTTTCTTTTAGTTTTTTGCTATAGGGTGCGTGCGCTCGCCAGAAAGACAGAGACAGAGAGATAGAAAGCAAGAAATCACCCCCAGGGGGGATGGTCATGCCACATCCCTTCTCCTCCATTCTCCTCTCGGGATCTTGGGCACGCACGCACACGCGCTCGGCGTGAGTTTAAGCCACTGGGTCCGGGACTCAAATCGTGGTTGACTACGTGGGAGTCCAATGACATAGCCATTAAGCCAACTGCTGGTACCCCCTCTTGTAATTATAAAAAACAAAGACAGAAAGAAAACAAAAGCTCTTGCCTCAGTCTGTGCTGGGTGCCCTGTCTCCAGAGGAATCACAGACACCTCTGTTGGACCGGCCAGCCCCCGGGCCATGGCCAGCCTCTCCGCCTGCCCTGAATAACCACATCGGGTTTCCGCCTCATTTTGGATCACGTCTCTGGATGACGGCCGTGGCGTGCCGCGTGGAGGCGATTAGGTGGCCCCAGCTCTCGGCGATAATGTTGTGTTAACTTTATACCTCTCACTGGGTTGGACCAATGGAAAGATACGGGATATGAAGATAAGTGAAGTGACCTGGAGCTGCTCGGACCATGTGGAATTTGCGCGGTACTCATTCGCTTACTTACTGGGCGGCATTCATGTTATGAGACACGCACCGAGGCTGACGTGAAGTGTACCATGGTGAACAGGAGAGATGGGGTCGCTGTCCCTGTGACGTATCCCCAGATCTTCCCACTTGACCTGGAGGGACTCTTCTTCTCTCCAAGACTCAGTTTCCCCATTTCCTCAGCTTCTCCAGGATAGGGTGTTGGGGCCGGTAGGTGGCGTGGTGGTTAAGGGTGCTGGATTCCCACATGGCCGACCGTGGTTTGAGTCCCGGACCTGGTGCCTTGCTTTCTCCCTCTCCCTTCTCTCTTTCTCTGTCTCTGATCAAATTTTTAAAAATTAATAATAACATGGAATTAAATACATAAAAAGATAGGGCCTTCAGGTCTCTCATCCTCAGTGTCATATTGGGAGCCCACGTTTGCACTCAGATGACTTCGTCTGAGTCCTCTCCTAGCGGTGATAGGGTGGTGTCAGGCAGAGTAACGGTCCACCTGACCCACAGAGCCTGTGACGGTGTGCCAGGCACTGCTGCAGAAGGGACTTTGCAGATGTGACCCTGAGATGGAGAGGGTCCTGGGCTAGCGGGGGGGGGCGGGGGGCATTATAATCACAAAGGTCTTTATAAGAGGAAGCAGGAGGATCAGAGTCAGGGAAGGTGTTATGACAGAGCAAGAGGAAAGAGAGACAGAGTGGAAGATGCTGGGCTGCTGACCTGGAAGACAGAGGAGGTGGACCCCAGTCCAAGGACTGCAGGCAGCCTGCAGGAGCCAAGAAGGTGAGGAACTGCATTCTCCTCCAGCACGTGCTGTGTGTCACTGAGCGAGTTCCTTAACCTCTCTGGGCTTTCATTTTCTTCTCTGCAAATGTGGGTAAGACTTGAATCTGCCAAGTGCTAGGAGGATTTGGTGAGCTAATATGTAGGAAAAATCTCAGCGCATGACCTAGTGTACAGGAAGAGAAAGGGCTTAGGAAATGCCAGTGTCCCTAATAGCATATATATATATATACACACACACACACACACATATATATACACACACACATATACACACACACACATATATACACACACATATATACACACACACATATATATACACACGCATATATATACACACACATATACACATACGTATGTATTTGTAATATATTTACACATATATGCATATATATGTAAATATGTGTATATTTACAATGGACATGGATGATTACCTCATACAGCCGTAATCGACAATGAGTATGAGTTTTGCTCCTCTCGGTCAAACCAGAATTGAGGACCTCGTGTTGAGGCAAGACCGTCTCTGAGGGTCCACACCAGGTGAGACTGCCGGGGGAGCCTGGCCTCTCACATGTCCTACCGGCGCGCCGGCTCCCAGTCCCACGCTGAGCCCCGTGCTGCGTTACCCGCCTGCCCCACTCAGCTCTCAGGGGGGTGAGTCTTGGGCAGGAGAGGTGGTGTCATTACGTGCCTCATTTTACAGACGAGAAAACAGGCTTGGGACGGCGGGGTGGGCTCTGTGAGGCGCCACAGCTGGTTTAGGACGGGGCAGGGTTCCAGTCGGACCTGGCTGAGGTCAAAGGCCAAGGGCTTAGCTGCTGTGGTGGGGCTGCCTTCCTGACTATAGGGGTCAGAGAAGGGGAAGGAGGGGGTGGCCTAGGAGGGGGTGTAGGATGTGATGGGTAGAGCGGAGGGGTAGGGGTGCGAGGGGAGAGCTACCTACTCCTGGGTAACTGTGAGTGGGGCCGGGTGATCCCATGGACTCCCCTTTCTAAGAAGGACTGAGGCCTGCTGACGAGTTGCTAAGGATGAGTGGAATTTAGAGCTCCTGGTCTAAAAACAGCCCATTATTCAAGTTCTCCTGGGACTCAAATGAAATAGTTCCCTAAGGAATCTGATGTGCGCACCACCTCACGAGCCCCCGCTGTGGCCAAACCCACGTGGCTCGCCAGAACTGGCAGCGTTTCCCCGCACTGGCAGCTGGTGGCGTGGCCTCCGTCGGCTGTGACGTTCCAGTGCCGGTTTTGTTTTTGCGGGAGGGTATGTGCACCTGCCAGAGAGACAGAGAGAGAAGGCACACCCGCGGGGCGTGGTCATGCTGCAGTCCTGCTTCGTTTCTCTGTCCCTGTGGGACTTGGGGCACAGATGCACACACGTCTGCTGTTGTAGTCACCGCAGAGATGTGAACCATGCGGTCAGCCGTATGGACTCCAGCTCCCCTGACCAGGCAGTGGGCCAGCCTCATCACTGCTGGTTTTAAAATAACTTTTTATTAGGGGACATTTCAGATATATACGAAGTAAACGAGTATGATGAATCCCCACATACTGATCACGCAGAAGCACCTAATATTTAAAAACAAAACCTGCCATTCTTCTTACACCGATACCTCTCCACACCTCAGGCCCCACTCGACAATGACATTTTTATAGTTGGTTTTTATGAGGCGAAGTCACTCACACGGAGATGCCGAGCCTTAGCTCTGTGCGGACAGGCGTTCTGAGCAGGAACACGTCTCCCCCACATTCCCTCGGCCTCTTCCGAGCCAGCTGGGGCAGCTCCCAGCCAACCTCTGCTCTGCTTCTCTTCTCCTTCGATTCCCTCGACTGTCCCAGGACCTCCGTCAGCGGGACCATGTATCGGTAGTGTGTGCTCCTCTGTGTTTGGCCTCTTGGTGCAGTTTGGTGTCCCTGAGCGCCGCCGCGCCGCCGCCTGGGTCGGAGGTCGGCCAACTGTGTGGAGAGGAGCTGACATGAGTGGCCCCCAGGGTGCTCATCCCACCCCAGCTGAGGGTGTTCGGCGTGGCTTGGTTGGGCCTATGGAGAATCCAACTGTAGTGAGCACATGTGTACAAACCTTCGTGGGGACATGGGTTTTCACTTCTCTTGGGTGAATACCTAGGAGCGGATGGCTGGGCATGCACCCAGCGGGTGGCTGCACGGTTAACTCCTTAGAAACTTCCTTTGTCTTCCAAAGTGCTGA